AAAAAATGGTGCAATTAACACAGAGAGACTATCAAATGAAGACGATTGTGATTGAAACCTTATATTTTCGGAGAAGTGTGAGGAAGATGCGTTCAGAAATGGAGAATCGAAATTATACTATCAAAGAAAAACCTATCCTTCATTTTTGAACACTTCTTTCTATGTTCGGTCAGTTTAGCCCTTTTATGTATTGATAGCATACTGTCATGTGTTGAATGTCCAGGCACATATAATTAGCTAGATTTCTTATCTATGCACTGATTGGGAGGTCTTAAACTAAGCCATTGTCAAGGTGGCAGCTTATAAAGTCATTCTAGCCGACAAATTGGACGTAGCCGGAGAAGAACGTTATGCAATACTGGATGGAATGGCTTAGGTGAACCCTTCCAATCACTACAGTCTTTCAGAATTCAGGCTTGATTTTGCCCAGATATTGCTTTTGTAAGACTGACCACAACTTGTAGAAAGCAAAGAGCTGCGACCATTCGTACACTCCAATCACCCATGACTCCCGGGTATCTTCTAGAAATGAGCCTGTCAAGTTCGCATACTTGATGTACTCTCGTAGCCATAGTGAAGTACTTTTGGGACCGCTGCCTAAAAAATTCCTATTAATAAGGTTGTTACTATCTGATGGAAGAATGTCTTACTGTAGGAGATTCGTTCAAATTGTTGTGCAATTTCCTCAACTAAACGTCTATTCTCGGGATTTGTCATATCTGGAGCTTTTCTTATGGCCACTTCCACCTGAATGTTTCGTTAGAAGGGTTTTTAAACCATCCTGAAATGGTTGATTTCTCTAACCTGATCCCCATTGGGGAACAATTCGATTTCCCTAGCGAATGCTTCCACAAGTGGATCAGTTTGAAGCAGCAGCTTATCATAATCCAGGCCTTGTTCCATAACACTTATTCCATAGATGGAGATCTAAAATTGAACTGATAAGCCTACGAGCAGACTTGAAGAAACCTTAGGTTTTTGAAATAAGAAAAAAAACTGTGGATGAGCCAATAACTTACGAAAACATTCAACTCACCATTATATAGAGCAGAAAAATTATAAATACAGCTATTTTCGTTCTGAGATCAAGTAGAAAGGGTACGTAGTAGTCTCTGAATAACCACATTGCTGACTTTATCATAATGAAATCGACATGCCCTTACCTAAAGAAAAGACCCATTTTGCCACGATTTTTGAGCGCATACT